TCTAAGTATAACTTGCCACAGTTATAAACTAAATTACATTTCAATAAAACAAAGTAACATTATATCTGGTTCACTTCTAAATCCAAAATTACGTTTGTAAAATCAATAAAATGTGATCCATTTTGCACATAATAACTATCAAAAGTTATTTAGTCAAATTCCTGGATGTCAGAGAAGTTAAATTTTTAGAAGAAAAATAAATATTTGAAGTTACAAACTAAACAAATTTATACGCACCCGTGGGCTAAACAGTCTGGTTAGAGACCCATATGTTTCAAGTATAATCATATATGTCAACCACAGTATGTCTACCATATCTATTGCTGACGTCGATAAAGAGCTCATCAGGTCTGATCAGATACAACTGAGTACTGTGTTAAAAATACTATTTATATAAGTCACTTGTTATTACAACAACAATTTTTATGGTGTGAATGCTTTTTCTAGGTTGGTGAAGCACAATCATAATTAGTTGTGCTTGTTAGAAGATATTAACGTTAAGCCTTTTATTATCATAACAGTACATCCTCTATTCAGTCCCTTAGAGATTTTTTAAGAATATGAGTATATGGTTCTAGCATGGCCTGGTGGTTAGGACGATGACTCACAATCTGTGGGTCGCAGTTTGAAACCAGTTGGCGAACATGCTCCTTTCAGCCATGGAAGGGAACGTTAAATTGAAATGGTCAATCCCACTTTTCATTGATAAAAATTATCCTAGGAATTGGCAGTTGGTGGTGTTAACTAGTTGCCTTTCCTCTAGTCATCGCTCCTAAATTAGGAATGGTTAGTGCATGTAGCACTCGAGTAGCTTTGCGTGAAATTCAATAAAAAATCAATTAAACATAGAGTGTATAATAGTATTTCAACCACGCTGTGTCTGCCATATCTATACCTGGACTTGGATATCTACAAGTTAATCAAGTATTCAAGTTCAAAATTTTCAAGAAACAATCATTTATAATTTTGAAGTTATAAACTTTCCATATCCAAACATAAATACTTCAAAATAAAGCTTGGTTACTATGTTTAGTATTCACAGATGATTAGATACAATAGCATAAAATACCCGTGACATCCTCCTGATTAACAGAGATCCCAAAACATAGATCAAGTTCCTCCATAAAAGGGTACGTCACCCTCAAAAGACCAGTCAGAACAATTTACCATGTTACATAGGCACGAGTGCCAAATTTTGATATATTAGCGTGTGGGCGGGAATTTGAATACAATATAAAATATGCAGCTACAGTGAACGTAGGGTGTGTATGTGTGTGTGTGAGTGAATGGACAAAAAAAAAGCCATTGCTAGATGGGAACTTTAGGTCCTGTGCAAAGCTACTCCTAGACTCTCATGGTTCGTCAAATAAATATGGGTGGGGGTTGGAGCTGCGCTATATAGATAAGGAAGTCTTCAGGCCGCTTGCCAAGTGTAGCTCTGATAGCTCCAAAATTTGTGGCGCAGGTTGCGGACAAAAATTTACAAATACATTATATCAATTAATATAGGACTAGAATTTGTTCAAAGGAACAATATTCGTGAGCAAAGCTAATAAACTCACTAATGTTTCACAAACGAGAACTTTATTACCAGATTTTGCATTACACGTTTATTTAGTGTTGTGGGAAATTCAATAATCTTCTTGTTTGCAGTTATGGGGTTTATAGCTGTATAAAATATCAAACTCTTGAGAACTATCACGTTTACATGCTAATTTTAACTAATTATTTAGATTAATACCTAACCACTATAATATTGCGACAACAACTTTAAAGTTCTTGATATGGGGTATAGCATAACATTGCATTTATTCAAGTTCTTCCCTAAAATACTTTGTTATATTCACTGTTATGTTGCTTTCTTTTCTAAATTTTATTATCCTACTATAATCACTAACTTCTTTAGTCCATGCAGTAATCAGGTGCATAATATTTCTTACCTTTTTTTTAGCATTGTCAATTTTTGAAGTTCATTGAAAATTCTTTCAAAAATTATAGATATTCATAGTTCCGAATATATGTATAAATTCAACATTGGTGAATTGTTCAAAGAAGTTGGCTAACTTTATTTTGCTCTAGTTGTTGTTCTAGATCATTCCTCGTTACTGTCGCATGTGCTTTCTCATAGCAAAGATAGCTGTATGTAAGAGGTAAAAAACATTTTTAGAACTAGCAGAGCCTGGAAGGTGTAGCCTAATTAATATAACTCATTTAAGTTTAAAGGAATAGCCAACAGCAACATGTGTTTCACACGTGCTCTGGGTCTGTTTGATTGCTTCAGCACAAAGGTAACAATCTAATCTAAGCATTGTAAATCCATAAATGTACAGCTGATCCACTTGTGAACCTGTGTTTTGGGAGTGGCGAATTTATTATGCTTATAGGCAGTGGATAGCTCTCTCAGTCATTGGATATTTTATCAGTAGTCGAGTATTTTATCTGCAGATGATCTATGCTAATTGCATGGGAAGGCATACACTAATATGGCCTCAGCAGATCGGGAGGGACTTCCTAGTGAACCTATACAACACCTTCTGGAAGCAAAGGATATCACCACTCTCATGAATGTAGTGCCGATCACAATGCAACTTGAATTGGTGACTTCAAGGTAACTTTGGTGAGGAAGAAGTCTACAATGGCAGCTACAGTGTATATTCCACTAGTGCTGGTTACAACAAAGGTACTTTCATCAAGGTGGACTAGACTCAAATGGAGGGTTAACAACCAGTCATCGCCATCAGATGGAAATGCAATGGAACCAAACTGGTCTCCAGTGAATGGGCATGGCTAGGCAAGTTTACCATTTAGGTATATGCCACAGCAGAGTCCATCTACAGGGTGTATGCTACAGCAACTTCCACCCGTGTTGTATGTTCAATCACAAGGGTAACTGCCACTGACAGATCCACCCATTGGACACATACCATAGTCACAACTGAAACTTCTATCCCGATACCATCCAGAATGAGAAGAGCAAAGAGTCTACTTAATTTGTGGACTAGTGGGGCACTGGTGAAGAAACTGCCCATACTTTTCCATACTGCAGATGCAAGCTAACCCATGATGTCAGCAGTTTACTGAATAACCAAGTATGTGAGGATATCAATATCAGCTGTCGAATCATCTGGACCAAAATATTGAGAAAAAACCGTGGATGCTGTGGCCATGATGTGGATTGCAATGGCAAAGATACCGGGTCTACATCGATTTGGTTGACATTTTGGTTTATGGCGAAACTTTCGAAATTGCATCTACGAAACTAAAGATGGTATTCCAGAGCATACAAAAGACAGGTTTGAAATTGAATTCAGAAAAGTGTTTGATTCTGCAAAAGTAAATGGGGTTTCTCAGTCACATTGAGAGTAGTGATGGAATTGCAAGATACTTGAATAAAATACCAGCTTTAAGAGGTTAGCCTCAGCTCATGATGAAGTGAGAAGTCTCCCATTTCTTTGGTTTCTCATTATACTACTGTGATTTGTGGCCAACTTCTTGAAGATAGCAGCACCATTATCTCCTTTCATGAAAGTGGAAGCACACTTTCGTTGGAATGAAGAATGTTATCAATTATACCAATCTCTAAAGGTTGCTTTAGTAGATGCTCCAATATTGTCATATTCCTGTCAGAGATGTGAGTTTCTTTTGGACAATGATTCCAGAGGCAATGGAGAAGTATTATGACACTTACAAGAAAGATAATAACGTATAATATTATATCCCAGTCTTATACTTATGGCTCTTGAATACAAATTTTGTATTCAGGAGTTGTCTTTGTGAAACACTATTGACTTTGCTTCCATGAAGTGGTTAATAAACTTTAAGATCTAGAGAAGATAATACATGATTGATAACAATGTTACAAGAATATGACTTTGTCACAGTTCATAGCTGTGGCTCACACCATGGAAATATGGATGGTTACCTCATGATACAGTGAGACCAATTTTATTTATGGAATGTCCTGACTCTATACACAGTGTGGAAATCAATATCATGGTCATTTCAGCCATAGGAAATATCGACTATGATAACTCCTTTGAAGAAGGAATTCCAAAGTTAATGCTTTAGGGACTTGGGGACAAGCAACTGAAGAACTCTGATCTAGCATGAGTGGTCCTAACTGCCCAGCTAGGTCAAGACCAGCTAGCACTAGTAGAAGAAATCTGTGTTTATGTACGTGACCTTGGCCAATGTATGAGCAGTTTCAAGTGCAACATGGTTTTCTGTACCATTTATATGAACTCATGAGGAATGGTGCTCTAACCATTCTAGTAGTCTCAGGAGATCGGCAGCAAGAAATACTCTGGACTTTGCACAACAAAGAGTGTAGGGTATCAATGTGTAATCTACATTTGTGCTAACTTTGAATGGTGGTACTTATGATGACAAGTGAGATGAGATATTCAGCACCAATCTGAATGAGTCTGCTGCTCAGCGAAAAGCTGGCTGAGTTTTGTAAAATGTTGGGTGTGGTGAAGAACTGTTCTTCACATTATAACCCCCAATCTGATGGTTTGGCAAAGTGGATACTTGTGAATTTGTTAATTCCAACAGAACTCACTAGGATAAACGTATGGGATGGTGGCATATATAGCAACGAAACAGGAATCATCAGGCTGTTGCCAAACCTACTTATGTCTGGACAGGAAGTATTGTTCCCTATGGACAGCGAAGAGAAGTCATCCATTGTTCCCAAGAGTATTTAGAGTGACTACGATCAATCATGTTTGATGCATGTTATTCCGTCTACAATAACTAGGGAAAACAACCCAAGTGATATGATTAGAAAGAATGGATGTTCCATTGTAGTGACTGAGTGTGGTTGCGCTACATTTCAGCTGCAATAAGGCAACTTGGATCCAGCTAGATTGATCTGATATTTTAAATAGTTAGTCCTCTAATGTATGGATTACAGGAAAACAAAAGGTGTGAAATCACGTGGAAGACGTTGATTAATAACTGTATGTCCATACATCGAAGATAAAGCATTGTATCAATAGATTGACCAGGAGTCTGCAGAGGATACCAATCAGTCACAGGAGAAAGACAACACTGTCAGATCGAGTCATCCAGATCTGCCTGATTTGAAAGAGGAAGCTGTAGGGATTTATCTGGTGGTCTTTGATACGCAAGATGAGGAGTCACTGTGAAGAAAAATGACTACCAGCTGCAAGTGGCAGTTGAAATGGAAACATGACTTCCTTGATCAATTAGGGTGGGATTGATTATCAAAGGTAAGATGATTGTTTTGTCGAGAACCTGGTGACTGAAAATAAGTGGCATTCCTTGCATTCCAAGCAGTTCAGTGGTTTTATCTATTTGTTTATTGGAATTTTACGCTAAGCTAATCGAGGGCTATCACTAAGTTAGAAGTGATAAAGTAAAGGGAAGGCAACTAATAAACATCACCATCTACCAACTCGTGGGCTACTCGAGGGCTATCTGTGCTAGCTGTCACTAAGTTAGAAGTGATAAAGTAAAGGGAAGGCAGCTAATAAACATCACCAACTACCAAAATCGTGGGCTACTCTTTTACCAATGAATAGTGGGATTCGCTGTTACGTTATAAAGACCCCATGGCTAAAAAGGCGAACATGTTTAGTGACAGGATTCGAACTCGCAACCTAAAAATTGCGAATTGAATGCCCTAACCACCAAGACCCAATCAAGTGGTAGTAAGATACGATGTATGTATTGCATTGTAGTATTATCACTCAATTATCGAGAGTTAGAATAATTATGTGATTGAAAAATCAGCAATTGAAAGGGTGTTGCAGCCCTTGCTATCCTTATAAAGACTGAGTAAATTCTCTGATGCAAAATAGATGTTTTACGAATATCACTCAAAGTAGGTGAGTGGTGAATACTCTGCAAAGCACATCACGTGATACTCGCTAGCGTTTTCACTAATAATCCTTGAAAATATACCAGATCTATGATGAACGAAGGAGTCCAGCTTTCTCGAAGTGTGTACTGCAGTACAGTAGTAATCAGACGAATTTTAAGCTTGATAAATAGACTTTTAGTTTAAACTTCTTGTCTTGTTTGAATTTTAACAATGATTGTTTGTTTCGTGAAAAAATATAAAATAGAAAGTGGTTGAGATTGTCGGCCTCTAGCGGACACTACCGCCGCTAAAGAGCGTAGCTTCAGCACGTAACACGAATGTTATCAATATGGTTCCTGCTGTAGCTGGAGGAAAACCGTATTCACTAATATGATAATTGATCAAGCATATATATATAAATATATAAATATAGACTATTTGTATTTAAGCAACCAAGTGTATGAATAGCATCATGTACGTCTTGAAAAATTACACAGAGTTATCCATAGCAAATTAAAACAAATGAAGCAACCACACTTAGGGAACAATGATAAATAATAATAACACAAAAAATGCGATGTGGATCTTGTTGTTAAGAATTGATGAATATGAGGTTAACTCTGATGACTAACCTAAAATGTTACTGGAACATGCAGTGTACTTGTCATTTTCATGAATGCTGAGAGAGAATGTTTCAATTTAGACGATGAGATATTATACAGGTGGTTAACAGGTGGAAGAGACTACAGGAAATAATACAACTTACACTATGGTGAGAGGAAGAAAACACAGTTTTAACTAGGGTTTAAATAATATAGTTTTATGTGATAGTTCTATCACAGTTTTGTCATCTATTTCTCAATATTCTCCATGCAACATCTTTGCATAGTGCAAGGATATTTTAAATTAGGTGAAATTGTTAGTATTATATGAAATTCACAAATAATGGTTTAGATACCACAACAAATATATACATGTGATGTATTTCATTGTTTTGTTTAGTTGTGATTGGAACGTTTTACTCACGTAGATTACAAACAGTTGTAATAAGTGTTTTCTATATTAAAGTAAAGCTATAATAATACAGTAGTGTTTTCTTTATCACAGCAAAGCTACAGTAATAGAATAGGATTTTATTCCTCTTATCTTACAAATATAGTAACACAATAACATTTTCCCTATTACAGTAAAGGGATAGTAGCACAGTAAAGCTATACTAACACTGTTGTGTTTTCTATATTATGGTAAAGTTATAAAAGCTAAACCATCATTATTACACACCATACTGTAGCGTGAGAAGTAGTTAGCCCCCCCCCCCCACTCTACCATCCAAAGAATGCCACCTCACGCTGATTGGCTGCCTCACAGATGGGGAGAGGGAGGGAATGGTGTGCAATAATGTCATTAAATATACTGACGTCATAGTTCCACAAATTGTCACGTTGTTAGGAAAGCGTTGCTAGGTCGCCATGACAGGCGGCCATGACAGACGATTTCGTAGAAGTTCCACGAAGTAAAGAACGAGTTTCTAGGCCGCCATGAAAGGCGGTGATGACGTCACAGTTCCACGAAGTGGGACCAGCATAACATGTCTCAAGATTACTATAATTAATACAGTCGGTATAAACCACTAATTCATTAGTCACTTAATTTTCCTGACCATTTGAATCATCCTAAAAAAATATTATGAAATAATTAAAACTTAGTATTTGATGTCTCAACATGACCATATTTAATACAATTGATTTAAAACACAAAAGCATTAGTTAATTACATTTTCTGACCACTTAAATCGTCCTAAAAAAGGACACCTAACACAAAATCATTAGTTAATTACATTTCCTTACCATTTATATGTCCTAAAAAGGACAATATTGTGAAATATTATGAATTAATTAAAATTTACATTTTCACTAGTTTGACTTTATGATATCAATATAACTTGAAACTTAACAACAAAAATATGACCATAATGAATAAATTATTCTGGTTGAAATCTTCGTACTCCATAAAAAAAGAAAATCATAAATAAAAACTTAAAATGCATGTAAAGACAAAAATTACCATATATTATCTATGTATTTCAGATTATTATTTGTATTAGTTACCCTGCTATGCTTTTCTGATTCTTTCTTTAAGTAGCTATAGTGCTATGCCTTTCAAATTATCATCATAATGCTAAAGATAAAATTAAAAATTCAATTCTATCATGGGGTCAAGATTAAAATGCTAAGACATAAGTAAGCAAGCAAGCAAAACTATCACTTATAGTTAAGATTCAATAAAGAAGGCAAAATACCTTATCATAAAAAGTCTGCAAAAAAAGAGAGTTGAAAAGTGTAATGCAGCATTTACTACATACAACATATAATTTAATCATAAAAACACACAAACTCATAAACATCATGGAAACACTTAATAACAACATTCAAAACATACTGGACGATACAATGAAACACCTAGACAGCGGAGATAAAGTAAGGGTATGTGTTTATTCAGATCATCTGGATAAACCAATAAGTACTTGCTTACAGAATAAGGATCTTTTCTCACCTGAAATATTTTTAATCGCCATTGAAAAAGTAAATCAAAGTAAAAAAGATATAAAAAAAATTATATATTCTTATTATCTGGTATTCACACTCAACTGCATTTTTTTACTTCTTCTGTTACCCAGGAACCAATGAAAGATCTCTTGCCATCACTGTAGTTACATGGTGGATCCACATAACCCTATGTGCCCGGGCATCATTTACTGTGCATGTCATGAGGTTTTAGTGCCTTTCGTTCAAACTTTTATTAAAGTACTTTTTATTTATGTTATACCAATTAGTATAGCATAAAATCCACATTATAATAGCATATAAGTTTTAAGTTTTTAATTTAATAAATATTTAATTTTTAAAAATTACAATTTAATTTAATTAAATTAATAAATAATTAAAAAATCCTGAATTTTCCCTAGTGTGACACATATAACACATTTTCTCTAGGCAAAACCTCTTCTCTATTTTATTCACCACCCCTCCAACAAGAAGGAAATCAAAAGTAAATTACTCACTATTAAATCGTCATTGCTCAGACAAACCCGAGGAAACCTTTCATTGACATTATAACGTCGAAATGATGATCATGGTACCACAGTTAAATTTTGTCTGGGCGTGAAGAACCTTTATATATTACACAGCTGAAATTTTCTTATACTTATAATTTGGATCTTTTCTGAGTGATGCTAAGGTTATTACAATAGCCTTAGCACAGCAAAGGTCATCGTTATAATTTATAGTAATAACAGGTTTTTTTAAAGTCAATCAAAACTAATGTTTGATAAATTACGTCTGGCGCTGCCTACTGGTAATTCCAATATATAGTAACTTCAATTTTGAATGAGTCATCTAATGAAATTTTCTTGTCAAAGCTAGAGATATGTTTAAGAACTACATCGATAAGTTGCTTAAATTAAAGCAAGAAAGTTTGGTTGGCACTCTCACTGTATAATATCAGAGGGCAAGCAATATTATGTTGAATAATATAACGAAACCATATGCAGAAGTACAATTGACCCCTGAAAATATTGTTTTTTATCCAGGAAGAAGGTCAGTTGCAAAATTATGTCTTAATTCTTTATGAGGACATTGGGTCATGTCTGAGGACAAACCACAATTTACCTATATAACATATTTTAAATAATACCATTCATTAATGAAGTATAATACCAAAATGATAACATATGTTACACTGATTAATGAAGAAGTAATAGCTCTTCATTGGAAACACAAATGTGAATATCTGCTCCAGAAAGATTAAACCAAACTCTTTTTTGGCGGCTTTCATAACAGCACACACTATTCTGAAATTATATCTTTCACTAGAGCAGTTAGATGGTCCAAAAACTACGGGTACTTATGCAATGACGGAAAGTCATGCTGTAAAATTAGAGGGTTTAAGCCAAATGGCACATCCTTCCAGACTTTAACACCCTTCTGTATGGATACTGATATTTTTATATTATCCCAAGTGTGCTTAAAATGATATATATAAGGTGAGTCCCATTTCATATATTTATCATTTGACTTTGAGATGGATAATCATATACTACACCCTTTTATGTGTTTAGTGTCAGTTCTAACAGGAAGTGGCATATCACAGTTTGTAAGCAAAGTTTTAACTTATCATCATGAAGTTATTTATCCTATTCCTGAAAACATCGTATGGTTTCATGGTAAATTTTAACCACTGTATACAGTATTAATGCAAAATATTCCCAATATTCAATTTGTCGAAGGCTTACCTGAAAATTTTCATGATTCTTTATGGTCTGAT